AGAGATTATAAAGATTAGTCTAAACACAAATTATACTCGCAAGTGCACAAGGTCAATCGTAATATAGTATGGCAAATACGAGGTCATTCCCACGAGGATTGAGTTCAACTTCCAATTAGTCTAACTTAATTTCCTTCACAAAATACTTTAAAGAAATTAAACACGTAGCATACTCACGTAAACACAAAAGGGGTTTTTGAAAGAATGATTTAATTAACAACGAAATTAAAAGACAAAATAAGTAGAAAGTCATGAAACACAAGGATGAGAAATTCAAATTGATAAAAGCACTAGGACAATGAATTCACCACTAGTAATCCGATCTAGCCTCTTATTCACCTACCTATTTACTAACCATATGATGTCGCCGCTTAGTTTTCCTTTTTCATGAATTACCTATGGTATTTAGGCTAACTCATATATTCCTACATGCAATTCGCCTATGGTATTTAGGTCAAATATCAACACATAGAAACTCATTAAGATCAGTGAAAACCTCGAACAAGCATGTAAACCCTAGGAGTATGGTATTTACCCTAGACGAATTACAAATCCTAATCACAAGAAGCAAGCCTCAAATTAAGTATGGTATTTACTCTAATTTGCATCCGATTAACTCAATTAAAAGTCTAGATGGTGATCAAGAATCAAGATAATCAACCAAGTTATTAAGCACAGTGATTAAGAATCCAACATCAAACGGCAATCAATAGATAGGTAAAATAAGAAAACTAGATTATCATACTAGGGCTACATCATGCCCCAGTAAAGAAAATTAGTTACAAATAATCTTAGAATTTGACATAAACAAAAACACAAGGAAGAAACAATAAAACTTAGCCAATGGTGGTACTCTTCCAGCATCTCCAATTTCTCCTCGTCTTTGCGTTCCTCAAAGGAGTTGTTTTTCATGCTTAAATAAGACACCCCACGTCTATTCTTACCCTAACTGGGCTTTTACAGCAGCCCAACAATAAAGAAAAACCTAATTAAAACATAAATCCAAAATGGGTAAGTACTTGACTCCTCTTCCTACTTGGACTGGGATAACATGTCAGTTACTTTGCTTGCACGTTTGGGGTTATTCCTCCTCCAAGAAAATTCAGGAAAAATATGTAAATTGTAAATTTTTGTCTTATCTTTCCATCCATATATCGCATACCTTGATGAAAAATCAGGAAAGTCTTCAAATGGTCATTCTTCCACAGCAGCACAGTTTTGACGGGATTGCATCTTATGCTGACTTAACTTCAAAGAATGCTCTCATTGGTTGCTCCAAAAATTCTAGAAAAATTCCACAATCATCTTCAAGATCTTAGCTTTCATCTCCAATTGGTCTTGTGCTAAAACTCCACCAAAAAGTCATATTTCCATTGAAAACAAATTACTTGCTCTGGAAAGCTGAAAATTGAGAAAATAAAGTAATAAGTCCATTTTAAACCAAATTCTCCTACAAAAACTAAGTATAAAGAGTACATAAATATGTAATTTTATGGACTTATCAAATTCACAATCATCAACTAGCTTTTCTATCTTTGATTCTTTTTGCGTTTAGATGGTTAAAGGAGCCTAGTGACAAACAAGCATTTCACATGGATAACATAAATTGGTTCTCTCAAGTGCCCTTTAAATTCTCACTGTTCGCTAGGATTGAGTCGTTTCTATAAATTGAACAAAACTAACATACCATGAGCTTTCATCTTAGTTAACTCCATTGATTTCTAGCTGAAATTGGGTAAATTTATTCCTACATGTCACATGCAGCACAAATGCACATCTTTTTCTTACTTTGCACAAAAAAATCCACCACCCGCCCATCCTTCTTTTAAGAACTCATTGTGTTCATGAATCATAATTCAAAGATCATCTCTACAAAAAAACACTTGAATCCGATATCATTTGACCATTCAATTGAATTATTGAAATTTTAGTACTTTCTTGAAGTACCGTGTTCATTGATTTTGTAGGACACAATTGGATATCGAAACGGTTTCTGATTTGTCTAAATTTTTGCAAGGATGATCTATGAATGTAGACTTAAAAAATAGATGGTTTGGATCGTTGAAAAAATATTTGTAGGGTACCCTAAAGGGTGTCCTTTTATTTGAGGGATTCCTCAATATATATATATAATTTTATTTTATTTTATTTTATTTTATTTTCAAAACCCAACCTCTTATCATCCTAATTCAAGAACCATAACCAATTTATGATCATGACTGAAGAAACCATGCTGTTAAATCTTTTCATGAGGTAGTGGCCTATTAAGACTTCTTTTCTCCAGAGAACAAATTTGTTAACCACATTGTTACTTTTGCAGTTTCTCATAACCATTATACTTACTCCTACCACTTCTTTCTTTCCACCTCTTCAAAGGGCAACACTTTCGGTCCTCAAACCTCAAAGCTCACCAAAAAAATTGGAAGGTTCAGGTCACATGCCAAAATTTCCGCTTTGTTAGGCCAAACATTTCTGTTCTTCGTTCAAAACTAATGAATAAAGAAAGAAAAAATACAAGTTCTGCACTACATCTATCTTTTCGTTTTTAAGACATTACAAAAATTGTAATCCATTCCATACTTGCATGGAACGAATAAATCTATAGCTTTCAAAATCGGGAAACAGAAAGGTAAAAGTTAAAGATGATAAAGCCAACCGTAATAACCTTTTTGTTTAGTCTGTGACGTGCGTGTTAGCTTTGCATTCTTGTGTGTTCTCTGGTTCGCATTGAGCTGCTCTTGTTTCCTCACATTCTCATCAGTGTGTTTCATCAGACGATCCAAGTGTACCCACTCATCCCAACTGTTGAGGGCAGCAAAAGGGAGAAACAGTCAAAAAGATAAAACGAAGTCAAAAGTTTCAAGAGATTGTAACTGCATGAATAACCCATGAATAAATGGGAGAAACTTAAGCAAAGTCTTCATCTTCGATTAACCTCCCATCCTCCCTCAATGCAATGATCTAATACTAACATCTGCCATGGTCTAATTTCTATTTTCCATCCTTACTTTTGTTATTATGTGATTTTTATTTCTTTTATCGAATATTGAGTCTCTAGAAAAGTGCTAAGAGTATCCATTTTCAATCATTTGTCTAACACTTAATAGATTATGCTCCAAGCTAGGTACTAGTAGAACATCTTGAATATATTTAGTTCCCTTATTAGTTTGGATAGAGATTGTACCTTTTCCTTTTGTCTCCACCACTGTTCCATTTCCCAGTTTTACTTGTGATTTTACAGACTTGTCTATGTTGGAGAAGATGCTTTCATCTCCAGTCATGTGGTTACTACAGTCGTTGTCAATATACCATTTCTTGTTGGTTTCTTCTGGTGTGGCTTGATGAGCATAAAACACATGCTCATTCTTCTCACTTTTTTATGAGTAATTGGCTTGATAGTTCTTGTTCCGACAATCCTTTTCTATGTGCCCAAATTTTTTACAATTTCGACATTTGGGCTTGCCACGGAACCAACAATATTTTTCTAGGTGGTTCATATTTTTACACACTCCGCAGGGAGGATAGTTTTTTCTTTCCTTTATTTCTTTTTTATTTCCCCAATTCTTATTGGATTTATAATTTTCTCTTCCAGAACTTTCTCCAAATTTCCTTTCTCCTTCTTTAGTTTTCTGAGACCTTAAATTTAGTTTTGACTGAAAGGCGCTTTCAACCGAATTTTCATTTCGCCTACTCAATCTTTTCTCATATACTTCAAGAGAGCCCATTAGTTCTGTCACTAACTAACTAGTTAAATCTTTTATCTGTTCAATAGCAGTAACTAAAGGATCATACTTATCAAGAAGACTTATAAGTATTTTTTATACAATTCTTGAATCATTAATATTTTCTCCATAGGCTCTCAATTGATTAATTATTTATTTTATTTTAGCATAATAGTCTTGTGTGGTCTCAAAATCCTTCATTTTAATGTTTTCAAACTCTCTTCTCAAAGTTTGTAGTTTAACTACACGTACCTTGGCATTGCCTTGAAATTCCTCCTTTTAGGTATTCCATGCTTCCTTTGCAGTTGTGGCTCCCATGATCCTTGGAAAAACTTGTTGCAGGGCATATAAGGCTTTTGCATCTTTTTGTTGATCTTTCTTTAGTTGCCTCAACTGTTTCATAGTTGGATTTTCTAGATTATTGAAGCCACTATCAACTATGTCTCATAAATCTTGAGACATAAAATAGGTCTTCATTTTAATACTCTAGAAGTCATAGTTTTCTCCAATGAAAATAGGAAGAGGGTTAGAGTTCTGGCTAGTGGTAGACATGATGGAGGACTAGAGTGAACAAACGCCCAAGGTTGATCGAAACAAGCTATGATACCACTGTTAGTTTAAGGAAGAAGAGGTTTAGAAAATAAATGGTTTAGTGTTTAGGACAATAGCTTGATGTGGAATAGAAAACTTTTTAAAAAGAGTAACAAGGTAATTTTATTTTATTCATTGAAATAGGAAAGGTACAAGGCTTTAACATTAGAGTTGGATGATGGCTAGAGTTGGACAGCTGTAGCTTTTTTTTCTTGCTTGAATACACAAGTGGGGCTTACTAGCATATTTATAGAGTAGCTAAAGTAGGCAGCTTTGCTTGTAAAAGTCGGTTGCACAGTAACCGACTTTTCCAAAGCCATTTTCAGCCACAATTGTTTTCTTATTCTAGATTTTTCTAGTTATAATTAGTAGAATGTTTCTAATGACTTAACTTGTCAACTATTCTCAACTTTTCTAGATAATTCCAAGTACAAACGTGCTGTACTTTTTAACATATATAAACTTGGGTCTTTTCTGTCTTCGTTATTTTCTCAACCCAGCCCAAAGTTCTTTTGGATCAGATCCCACAAATGTATCTGTAAGTGCAACAATTAGCCAGATGGGAGTTTAAATATTTTTCCCATAATGACCTGGCTGTGTTCTAGACTTGGAAGTTGGAAGTATGGAGTTCGGCATATACACCATTTATTCTTGTAACTTTGGAGTATGAGCATGCCACCATTCTAATCAATTGTTTTCATGATGTAGAAGCATCTCAACAACTTGACTCATGGTGGGTCTTGCATCTTTGTCTTCCTCTAAGCATTGAAGAGCCACTTTCACAAGAATTTCAAGTCTATTCTGTTCATAATCATCTCCCTTTTGGCTCTCTGCATTTGCAAATGCTCCATTCATCTTCTCCCTCACCCATGTAACCATCATCTTTTCATGTGTCTCCTCTCCACCTCCTATTGCTTGAACACTTTCTGCTGGGCTCTTTCCAGTCAGCATCTCCAACACCACAATCCCATAGCTGTAAACATCCACTTTGGAAGTGATGCGCATATTCTGAACCCACTCCGGCGCCATGTAACCTCTGGTTCCCCTGATCCTTGAAAAGCTCAAATTGCTCTGCTCACCTCTGTTTAGTACCTTGGAAAGTCCAAAATCTGCAACCTTTGGATTATAATTAGAGTCTAGAAGTATGTTCTGAGGCTTTACATCACAGTGCAAAACCCATTCCAAGCATTCTTCATGTAAATAAGCCAGACCTTTTGCTGTCCCCACAGCAATTTCAAACTTTTGCTTCCAATCAAGCACATTAATCAAGCACATTGGAAGATAACTTTTCTGCCAAGGAACCATGCTCCATATACTCATACACCAAGAGCCTATGCTTTCCTTCCACACAATATCCCCACATCTCTATCAAATTCATGTGGTACAACTTCCCTATGAGGCTCACTTCTGCAAGGAACTCTGCTTCCCCCTGGTTAGCACCATTCAGGCACCTAACAACTTCCCTATAGAAACAAAAACAACTAACAATACCAATCAAAATAACAATTAAAAATGACTCATCGTGTTAGAAGGGAAAGAGAAATTGACAATGACCTTTAAGAACAAGGCCTGAATACATCAGAAAACTGGAAACCACTGGGAATTTGAGTAAAACCTGAAGACTTATTGAATGAATAATGATCCGGAGACTCGCTAATGGGTCCCTCTTATACATAGGCAACCCTAGGCACAAAGCAAACGTTCGGCCAGTTTCTCGGAATCTCAGTCCGATTGCCCACCCCTAGTAGCCATTCATCCCAACTGCTGAGGGCAGCAAAAGGGAGAAAAAGTCAAAAACATAAAATAAATCAGAAGTTTCAAGAGATTGTGATGACATGAATAACCCATGAATAAATGGGAGAAACTTAAGCAAAGTCTTCATCTTCGATAAACCTCCCAACCTCCCTCAATGTAATGATCTAATTCTAAATCACCAAACTACAAGTTCTGTACATTTTTTTTTTATTTTTTTTATTTTTAGAATACAAAAATTGGAATCCATTCCATACTTGCATGGAAATAATACATCTATGGCTTTCAAAATGGGGAAACAGAAAGGTAAAAGTTAACGATGACTTTTGTGTTACAGGAACAGAACATGAAGAAACTATATTGGAACCAGCCTTTAAGACCATGACAATTGACAGTTGAAAGAAAATAAAAATAAACTATATTTAGATGTGATATGTAGTGCTTAATAATACCATGACAACTGACACAGGACAACAAGCCATCACTCACTGTTGCACTCTATTGAGATTCGTCTTTCTCAAGCTGCAGAAGCGTCTCAACGACTTGGCTCATGGTAGGTCTTGCATCTTTGTCTTCCTCTACACAATGTAAAGCCACTTCCAACAAAATCTCCATCTTTTTCACATCATAATTACCTTCAAAAGAAGGGTCTATGATCTCTCCCATCCTTGATGCAATATCAGTAGTTCCATTTACCTTCTCCCTCACCCACATGATCAGCCTTCTCTGCTCACCATCAATGGCATCCACGCCTATTGTCGGGTTCTTTCCAGTCACCATCTCCAACACAACAATCCCATAGCTGTATACATCCACTTTTGATGTAATGGGTAGATTGTACACCCACTCTGGAGCAATGTAACCCCTGGTTCCTCTTATCCTTGAAAAACTTGAATTTTTAAGGCCGCCCCTGTTGAATAGCTTGGAGAGGCCAAAATCTGCTACTTTTGGTTGGTAATTAGAATCTAGGAGTATGTTTTGAGGCTTAACGTCACAGTGTAGAACCCACTCCAAGCACTCCTCATGCAGATAAGCAAGGCCTTTTGCAGTGCCCACAGCAATCTCAAACCTCTTTTCCCAATCAAGCACATTGGAAGACAAATTTTGTGCCAAGGATCCATGTTCCATGTACTCATAAACAAGAAGCCTGTGCTTTCCCTCTGAGCAAAATCCCCACATCTCTATCAAGTGCATATGGTTCAGCTTCCCAATGGTGTTAGCTTCACCTAGAAATTCAGCTTCTCCTGGGTCAGCCCCATTAAGCATCTTAATTGCTGCAACTCTTTGATCAGCCAATACACCTTTGTACACAATTCCTCCTGCTCCTCTTCCGATCTCTTCACTGAAACCCCGCGTCGCCTTCTTCAGCTCCCCGTAGCTGAATCTTTTGAACCCTGTTGCAGCAAGTACGTAGCCCTGCATATCCTCATTGGAATTTGGCCTGGTACCACGTAATAATCCCAAAACCAGAAGGATACAAATGATCTCAAACCCTCCAACTCCACAGGCAAACCACAATAGGAACTTCACTGAACCAGTTACACTGGTTTTTACATAATTTCTATCTAGACCAACAACTGTCCCTATGCAATTTAACCTATACTCTTCTTGGGGCTTCTGGTAAGATAACAAATGGTTTTTGGGCACTCTCAAATATAAGTCTCCAAAAAAGCTGGGTGATCTGTATCCATTGAGCAACACCGTCTTCGGGTAACAGCTATAAGTCGGTCTGCCAGGGATACGAGAGTACTGAAAACCTTTGCAGTTGCATAGTTTCAAGCACAAGTTCTCACAATCCTCGTAGGTGTAATTCGTGAAGTAGCCATAATCATACCCGAAAAACTCAAGCTTTGAAAGTTTAAAGAAAGTGGACTCACCTTTGGTGCAAGTGTAATTATATTGAGGCTCACAACCATAATTCCAATCAGTATGGTTGATCAAACTGTAACCTGGAATGCAAGAGCATTTCCTACCATGACCAGGATCATAGCTACAGACGCTATTAACTCCACAAACGCCATGAATCTTACATGGATCAGAAATGACTTGCCCTGAAACAGCCCATTTGTCTCCGGGCTTTTTCCGGCTATACAACCGAACATTTCCATCAGAATCAACAGTCAATCTTCTCTGTGACTTCGCACCATAATCAGCTGCCATTAGTGTATATTTATCGGATGAAGTAAAATTGCCCAATGAATCTAGCACTGCAATTCTACTGCTATTGTCTGTGGACCTTCCAGCATCCTGGCCTGCAAGCCATGGCTCAAACCAATAGACACTTGAAGTCTGAAGGCCATCATAGAGTAGACGGAGGAGGTTGTCATTGTCGAAGAAAAGCTTATAGAAACCAGAGGAGAAGTTGCTCTGGCTTCTCATGGAGACAAGAATTGTGTTCCTGGTGAGTGGTTGGTGCGGAAGAAGGGTGTCAGTTGGGAACTCAAAGCTTTGCCATAAAACAAAATGATCCGACTTCTGTAAAACCAGGTTGCCAGAATTTTGTAGGGTTAAGTGCACTGGTGAGAGTGAAGTTGTGGTTGTGGCCCAAACATTGGACTGACCAGCATCACTTAAGATGAGATTACCATTTTGTAGGAGGGAGAGCTTTGAGCGTTTCCCATTCACCGGTTGGTCTCGGTTAGCCATCCAAACTATTGTGCGGTTTTGGTAGTGGTCAGATGATGAAGGCTCGGTGAACCAAATGGCAAAGCAAAATGAGTTGTTGCCGACTTGGTGAAAGCCAGCAGTGAAAACACCATCAGCTGAAACTAACACATCTTCTGGTTTCTCAACAGAGAGGGAGGAGCCTCTGCTCAAACTCAAAGAGTCGGAGGTTGAAGATGAAGGTGGAGAATGAATGGCCAGAGAGAGAAGAAAAATGAGAAACAGAGTACCCATTGGAAATGAAAGGGGGGCTTTGGCTGCTACAGAGGCATTTGCAGAAGTAAAACACTAGCGTGTAGTAGCAGTTGGACCAACACCCACAATGATTTTGACTTTCTTCAATTGCGTTGCCGCCGGAGACCAAGGCTGAGGAAAATTGAAAGCATCCAATAATAATTTTTTATATACATCCAAATCCAACTACCGCCCTAAATACGCTTCCATTATTTGATAGATAAAGTTAAATCAACCTACCCGATACTCGTTGGAAAACCTGCATAAACAGAGCCCCCCTCTTTACCCAAAAAAAGAAAAATAAAAAAGAGAAACAGACCACAACATATTTAACATGGGGCGGCTGTCATTGTTTTGTAGGACCACGGCTATAAAGATTTTGACTTGCAATTGGGCTGACGGAGACCAAGACCAATACATACGGTGGTAAAAAGGAGTTCCTAACTCGGCTCATCTGAGACATCCGTGTCAGACAGGTTATGTTTCATCTTCAACCCGTAAGACTGGTTCTTTCCAGCGATGGCCTCCCTGGTCAACCGGAGTGACTTTACTTATTTTTTGTCTTGCCTTGTTTTGGTGCTGCTGTTTTTTTTTTGTTTTGCGCCTTTTTGCTGGGCGCCGGTCCTTGTTCTGTTTGTTTTGTGGCCTGCATTGGCTTTTAAGGAAGTTTTCTTCGACCCAAAAAAAAGAGTCATTGTTTGAATGATCAAAAAATTCCTAAATTATTTCGTTCATTAGTGTGAACTGAGAAGTTGCGTACATATTGCAAAGAAAGAAAGACTGAACAAAAATACTACTGTCATATTTGCTGCTGAGCAAAGCTGAGAACCTTACACTTTCCAAGCACCGCACAAAAGCCCCTCAACCTCATTAGATCCAAACGTCTTGCCTAACGGTGTTACCCTTAATCCTTGTCATGGTGTAGAAGCATCTCAACAACTTGTCTCATGGTTGGTCTTGCATCTTTGTCTTCCTCTACGCATTGTAAAGCAACCCTTAGAAGAATTTCCATCTTCTCCACATTGTATTCACCTTCAAACGAGGGGTCCATGATCTTTCCCATCTGTGGTCCAATAGCACTAGTTCCATTTACCTTCTCCCTAACAGACATGATCAGTGTTCTCTGCTCCCCGTCAATGGCATCGACGCCCATTGTCGGGTTCTTTCCGGTCACCATCTCCAACACAACAATCCCGTAGCTGTATCCATCCACTTTGGATGTGATGGGCATATTGTAAACCCACTCTGGAGCAATGTAACCTCTGGTTCCTCTTATCCTCGAAAAGCTCGAGTTCTTAAGCTCCCCTCTGTTTAATAGCTTGGAGAGGCCAAAATCTGCCACCTTCTTCCTCTTATCCTCGAAAAGCTCGAGTTCTTAAGCTCCCCTCTGTTGAATAGCTTGGACAGGCCAAAATCTGCCACCTTTGGTTGGTAATTCGAGTCCAAGAGTATGTTTTGAGGCTTGACATCACAGTGTAAAACCCACTCCAAGCACTCTTCATGCAGATAAGCAAGACCTTTTGCTGTGCCTACAGCAATCTCAAACCTCTTCTCCCAATTAAGAACATTGGAAGACAAATTGTGTGCCAAGGAACCATGCTCCATGTACTCATAAACAAGCAGCTTTCGCTTTCCCTCTGAGCAGTATCCCCACATTTCTATCAAGTGCATATGGTTCAGCCTCCCAAGGGTGCTAGCTTCAGCTAGAAACTCAGCTTCTCCTTGAATAGCTTCATTAAGCAACTTAATTGCTGCAACTCTTTCATCAGCCAATACACCCTTGTACACAATTCCTCCAGCACCTCTTCCAATTTCTTCACTAAAACCCCGCGTCGCCTTCTTGAGCTCCGCATACCTAAATCTTTTGAACCCAGTTGCAGCAAGAAGGTATCCATCATGCATATCCTGCTTGGAACTTTTCCGGGTTCTACTACTTAATAAACCGAAAAACAAAAGGAGACAAACGATCTCAAACCCTCCCAATCCACAGGCAAACCAGAGCAGGAATTTTACTGGCTTACTAACACGCTTTTTTACATACTGTCGGTCGAGATAAATAACTCTGTCTGCGCAAGTAAGCCTAAATTGTTTTAGGTACTTCATGTCAGATTGATTAGAGAAGAGGTAGGCTTTAGGCAGTCTCAGATACAGGTATCCTTGTAAATCCGATCTGCGACCACTTCGTAACTGCGTCTTCGGGTTGCAGTTATAAACACCACTTCCACTGTCAAATGTGTATTGGAACCCCCTGCAGTTAAACAGGTCCAAGCATATGCTCTCGCACTCTCCATAGCTGCGATTTTGGTAGGAGCTATAATCGTAACCAGAGAACTCAACTTGAGAAAGTTTTAGGAAACTGGACTCATTAACTTTGGTGTAAGAGAGGTTGAATTGTGGTTCACACCCAAAAGACCAATCAGTATGATTTCTAATCTGATATCCTGGAAGGCATGAGCATTTTCTACCAAAACCAGGGTCATAGCTACACACGCTGTTTGCTCCGCAAATCCCATGGATCATGCAAGAATCCGAGATGGCCTGCCATGAAACTACCCATTTCTCTCCTGAATTTTCTCGACTATACAATCGAACATTACCATCAAAATCAATCCTCAGTCTTCTCTGCCACTTTGCGCCATAATCGGCTGACAGAAAAGTCAAGTTGTCTGATGAGATAAAACTGCCTAAGGAATCAAGCATGGCATTTCTGCTGTTGTTGTAGGTGGACCTTGCATTATCCCAACTCACACGAGAAGGGTCGGGCCAATAAACACTGGAAATCTCGAGACCGTCGAAAAGAAGACGGAGAAGGTTGTCATTGTTGAAGAAGAGCTTATAGAAACCAGAGGAGAAGTTGCTCTGGCTTCTGGTGGAGATAAGTGTTGCTTTTCTGGTGAAGGGTTGGAGAGGGAGGAGGGTATCAGTTGGAGAATCAAAGCTTTGCCATAAAACGACACTCCCCGAGTGAAGTAGAACCAGATTACCAGAGTTTTGGAGGCTCAAGTGAGCTGTTGAGGGAGAAGTAGTGGTTGTGGCCCAAACAATGGACTGACCCGCATCAGTTAAGATGAGGTTACCAGTTTTTTGGAGGGAGAGCTTTGAGCGTTTTCCGTTCACCGGTTGGTCACGATTGGCCATCCAGACAACGGTGCGGTTTCGATAGTGGTCGGAGATTGATGGCTCTGTGAACCAAATGGCAAAGCAAAATGAATTGTTGCCCACTTGGTGGAAGCCAGCAGTGAAAACACCATCAGCTGAAACTAAAACATCTTCTGGTTTCTCTACAGAGAGGGAGTAGCCTCTGCTCAAAGAGTCGGAGGTTGAAGAAGAAGGTGGAGAAAGAATGGCCAGAGAGAGAAGAGAAATGAGAAACAGAGCACCCATTGGAAATGAAAGGGGGCACTGGCTGCTACGAAGGCATTTGAAGAGGCAAAAAAATACTAGTCTAGCAGTA